TTTAATGTTATTTTAATAGAAAGGGTGGGATAGAGTGGGGGTGGCAACAATGACGACATTCAGGTATAAACCCTATTTTATGGGCACTAAATGTCCCCTCAAAGATGGTTATATATATGAAGAGTTCAGATGCAAAAGCCTCTAAATGCCATTTGAAATGTTCTTCTTTAATGATGATTTTTATCAAACTTGTATATTTAAGTTCAGTAATTTCACTTAAATAACAATTAATAGGTAATTATCATTGCCATTTAAGTGAAATCACTGAACTTAAATATACAAGCTTGATAAAATCATTCATCATTCTAGAAGAAAATTTCAAATGGCACTTAGAGGCTTTTGCATCTGAACTCTTCATATAATCTCCTTGTCGGGTCATTTCTTGGTCCCAATAAGGAAAAAAGCTTTTTTGTTAAATGTTAAAGTGCAATGGTGGATTTAAGGACAGCGTTAGGAGATGCAATAAATAATAATGTCTCTGAAAAGTCCCCAAGAAAATAGAAAAATGTTCTATTATAGTGTTTATGAATAATTAGCTTTATTAATTAATAATTACAATAAGTATTTTTGGGATTAAATGTTTCTGTTTTAATTTCAATTTAATTTAAGTTTGTGATTTTGTTATGTGCTTTTGTCATTTTTATTTTATTATATGTATATATTTCTAGATTTCACTTTCATTTATTTCTAATTCAGTTTTAGCCATTTTAGTTTTTAGTTTTCAGTTAGTTGCCAAAGCAACATTCTATTTTCAATTTTGTAACTTTTTTAAAATTTAAATTGTATCATTTACATTTTATTTGATTTCAGTTAATGAAAACTATCTTTAATAGTTTTAGTTAATAATAATTTACAGTTTATGGGTGAATTGGCATAAATGTATTGCTCTACAAAGGCAAAATGCAGTAATTGCGCCAACACAAACTGGCAAAAAAAAAAAAAAAAAAGCTATTGGATTGAATTTTGATGGATTGTTTTCCTCATAGCCAAACCCAGGCCAATCATTTAGTTCTGAGAACACATGAAGTTGTTGTGTCTAGTCTGTGCATGACACTATAAATACAAAGAGCTACATAAAACAGAGAGCTCTAAATGTTTTGGTCGTGTCTCTTTCTTTGTTGTTTGAGTACCACAGTAGGGTAGGCTGAAGGATGTAAAGCTCAGAAGCCTACAGGCTAATAGCGTAATCTAACACAAAGCGTCGACCGGTTGCTCTGGCGTGCCGCCCCACGCTGTCCAAAAATCATTTAGTCAGAGGTGACTAGATCTAAGGCCTGCTGTGGTCTCTATGATTGGATTGAGAAGTGGGGGAGTGATTCATCATTGTTAATAGACACTGCTGACAGCTGGAATCAGTAGGGGTGATGTCTGTGCCAGCTCCAGCCTCGGCCAGTCACCACAGATGCATGCAAAATTTACACAATTACCAGGCAACAAGTGCCAATCAGGAAGCAGGTAGATGGAGCAACCACATAATTACTCTGTTTTTTAACAGTTGGGAGGTATGCACCCAGGAGACAGTAATAAAAGGACTTTTAGGCAATAGCATGACAGGATTTCGAGAAACTAATCCTAGGCTGTTAATCAAGGATTTAAGCAGCTTCTATAAAGGAGTACGCCAAAACTGAATATATATTTTGTTTTAGTCATTTTATTTTTGTTGTTTATTAGATATTACATTTGTCCCCTAAATGTTCATCTCTTCTTTCTTGCATAGATATGAATATTATTTGAATAATAAAAAATAAAATAATGAATAACATCTGTGTTTCTACTTTCTAGGTTTTTTTTTTTCTTCCGTCACCTTTAACTTGCTCATTAATCAATATTTTTAAACTCTATTCTGTAAAGCTGATTTGGGAAAAAAAATAATTTTAAGATTTTGGGTCAAAATAAATTAATATTATATAACTGAGTATAAAGTTAATTTCAGGAAAACCAGTCATAACCCTGCATCTGTATTGTGGGTCCAAAATTTTTAGACATTGAAAATCAGGGATTTTAAAACTTTTAAACAATGTTTTATTGGTTTTCAATTAATATATATATATATATATATATATATATATATATATATAATAACTGCTTTAACTAATTCTGGGTCATTAATCAAATAAGTAAATGTGACCTTGATCATGTGATCCTTTGTACAGATGGCCAGACATGTCTTAAGAACTAGTATGACCAACTAACTGTTATTTAGGGGTAATCGGTCTTACTTTTCGTATCAAATCAGTATTAGCCCAATCAACGTTTGAACGTTATGTAACAACTGACTCAAAAACAGAAAAAGTATCTAGTAACACTTTAATCGGGAGCTATACTTACTAATTATTTGGATCCGTATTATAAAGTGAAGATCATTGGAACTAACTAGTAATTACTCAAGTGTTACTACATGATCTATTCATGATTTGTGCAAACGTTTGAGATTTTTGGTGAACTTTAGTATAGAAAATATCTTTAGTAACACTTGAGTCATTAGTTAGTTCCAATGATCTTAACTTTATAATACGAATCCAAATAATTAGTAATTCCCACAGAAGTATATAGTAACACTTTTATCTGTGAGCTATTACTTACTAATTCGTTAATAAGAGTTTATTTTAGTTAATAGTAGTTACTATATTATTAATAAACTTTTTCAATAGTTCTCTGGGAAGAATTAAAAAAATAGAAGTTATTGATTAGTTAATAGTGAACTCCCACTTTCATCTGTGCACTATTACTTACTGGTTTGTCAATCAGAGTTTCTTGTTAGTTAATAATAGTTACTAGATTGTTAATATTGTGTTACTCATTGGTTCTTGTGTAGTTATTCATTAACGAAGGAACCGTATTCTAAAGTGTTACCAAACAAAACATCAGTTTATGCAAACAGCCTCGGGTTTACACTTTAACTCAAATTGCTTTGCTGATAAATGCAATTTCTTCTAAATTAGAAAAAAAAAAATGAAGGAATTCACCAATGGTCTCAGACTTTTACACCACATTGTTGGTGGTTTTTTTCCAGACAGTTGAGAAATGTTGGCTTTGTCTGGAAATCTCTTGCAAATGTTGTCTGTTGATCAGTTTACAGCCTTTCAATAAAATGAGGAATTGGCTCGCACAGCACAATCTCACCAAGACCTCTGGTTCACAGAGGATTTGGCAAAAGCTTGGTGGGAAGGGAAAAGAGAGGCTGGCAGGGCTTGAAAGAACAAGAGATAGAAAGGAAGATAAAGGTTGCAAATGAATGAACGTTGAAAGCCAGGGACAAAACACATTAATACATGATTTTCATCCCAGTGTGCTTCCTACTCTTCTAATCATGCCTTTGCTTCCTGACCTACAATTGGACCAGTCTAGACGCTTCACACTTCCTCCCAGAGCATCCCTCTGTTTTATTCTCTCTGTTCATCTAATAACAGCTGCTCTCCACAAATATTCAGGACCTACAAAAAAAAAAAATGAAATAAAATAAATAAATAAATTAAATAATTAACGAAAAAATCAGCTGCCCTGGTATCCAGCTGTTCCTGGCCGTGTTCCAGTCTTACAAATTATCAACCCCCCTCACTGAAATTCTCTGTTGTGTTTTCATTTCACTCCTTTTTATGCTAGAAATATAAAGTCAAGTACAAAGGCCCCCTATGGACACAGCAAAATCATTAATCAATCCAAGTCACAATATTTCATAGACTGCAGTAAATATATTCTCTCTGTTAAATAGTTATTCTTAGAAAATAAATTTGATGCTTTTTAAAAATATTTTTCATGTTTTTTTTTTTTTTATATTTTTATAATATATAATAGTTTTTGTTTTTGCATTTCTCATGTAACCAATATGCAAGAGGTCTTTATCACATCTCAAAGTACCTTGAATTTGTGTCCATTTCTGTTACTGTCTGTATTGCGCTGTACAATATTTCGCACTGCATCCAAATTATATATATACTCCAATACTTGCACTAAGACTGCTAATAAAGTGTGCTTTATGCGTGTAGTATTAATAATACAATCTGTGGAAACGTTCAATTGTTACCTTAAGGTGCTTTTTATACCAAATATACATACCTTTCAAAAGTTTGGGTAAATTAATTTTTGTTGATGTAACCTAGGTTGATTCAGTGATTTTACTATTTTGGCTTGAATAAAATCAATGAAGTTACATACTACCTTAGGAATAAATGTGTACATCCACCATGTTGGCTTTTGCATGTGACCATATTGTACAAAGTCAGCCACATTGCTGTTATGCGTTATTTATGAATATGACTACTCCTCTCCTATGGCCTCATGGAATAGTAAATTGTCCATCTTTTTCTCGTACTATTTCATGAACACTGAATATGTCGACATAATAGTAATGCTCATTTGACATACTACTTTTGATCTGACATACTATATTATTAAGTAGAGATGTACACATTCAGATGCTGGGCTTCAACTTCTTGTTCTTGCTCTTGTTTTGTTTAGAACTATACTCCCATAATTCTGTTTGTTTTATCTCTGCTTTATGCTGATTCCTTCTGTTTTAACCTTGCCATCTCCTTTTATTTGCTTTTGAATGCTACATCTTCTCATTCTTTTACACAGTTTTTGGGTCTGACTAGCTCCCATGTTCTGTTTGTTGAGTGTTCCTGATTGTCACATATCTTTTTGTGCTCCTTCCAGCTTTGTATTACATGGTTTTAATCTTGTTTTTGTCCTCGCCTCCCCTATGTACAGATCTTCTTCTTTGTGTTTAGCTGAGCATTGTCTGTTTCAGATGTGCTGTTAATTACTCTGCAATGTGATTGTTTGACTTTGAATGCAAAATTTACTTTCATTTTTATGATAGCAAAAAATGATTTAATTAACAAGATAATCTGTATCACAGTAGCATCTGAAGATCTGTAAAAATGACTAATTTATTCTTTGTTAAACAGAACCAATTAATACAGCTCGCAATATGGACTTCCTTAGTTGGCGTCTTTCAAAATAACTTTGGAAGTTACTGAGTACTAGTCTTTTTGCAGAGGGAGGGACTGGTGGCAGTCCCTGGAGCAGTCCTGTCACTGTGGCCCCAGGGCGAGGGTCCCAGGGCCGGTCAAGACCACTTGACCCTCAAGACTCCAGTAGAAACAGAAGGGCACACCCGAACTGGGCAATTCTGGGTAAATACGTCGCTAATAAAATACACTGAAAAAGACTGGAGTAAGTGGATAACTGTGCATGCCATTAGTAAAGTTAACATTTTCCACTGTGTGCCACGATGACTATGTTGTGACGTTGGTTTGTAATGTCAGTAGGGGTTGTATTCTCGTTTTGCTCCAGGTGGTTGAGGGAATAGAAATAGAAGAGGATCGGATTAAAAGAAAAGTTATTCCTTTACAGTAGTTCTGTTGAACTGAGACCTTTTTGTATTAACGCACAATGACCTTTGCAAAAGGAGCCACTTTTAAAAAGGTCTTGCAAATAATATAAGCTCTTGAACCTGATCATTGACAACAAACAGATATACCAAGGAAAGGGTGCATAATGAACTCCTTCAACTAAACAGGAAGGTTTCCAAGTTGCATACTTGTCATCTGTTCATCACAGTGTTGTTATATTTAGCACTAAAGCACTTTTGTAATTCACTCTGGATAAGGTCACCGATTCAAAACGGTGAGCTTGAAATAATGTTTTTAATTCCAGTGGGACTGGTGGATTTCCGCGGGAGATTCGAGCATGTCTTTGTGTCATTACGTCACATCTGGACACGTAAAACGGAGTCTCGGCTAGTTGTCATGAGTGTGAGGATGTTGGAGGTGGAGATTTATAGCCTTTTCTCACAGCACTTGATATAATTAAACTCGAATTCGCGAGTGTGAATCTCTTCCGCGTGCGCTCTCAGATACACGCTGCATTCAAAACATCCAGTTTTTAGACGTTGTATTAACGTTCTTGCTTGGTTATAAGAATGTTATTAGAACGCTAAGAAATAACAATTTTAAGTTATACTGGGTGCTAATTTATTCTACAATATTCACTAATGACAGTAAAATAGACCATCCTAAGTCAATTTATTGCAGTAATTCCTCTCTCCACCAGTAGAAAATGCTTTGAACACCTGATTATACATGAAAAAAAAAAAAAAAAAAAAAAAAAAACGCCATAAACCGAAAAACCGGTTTAATTTTGAAAAAAAAAAAGTGATATAATTTTTTGGTCAAACCGCAAAGAAAGCTAAATGGCATATGGTGAATCATTTGCATAAAGCAAACAATCAACACAGCTAGTCAATTAGTTTTCTAGATGACTAGTTAACTATTAAAAGGAGTAGTTGTGCAAGCACTGGGTTATGCACATTCATTTGGCATTCGTTTGTATCACAATTGCTAAAAAAACCCAAATGTGTGCAATTTTTAAGCCTGTTTTCCAGCAAGGTGAGGGAAAATGTTACATAGTGATGTATGAAAATTATACCAGAACTGTTTTCTTTGTTGTCAACAGTAAGAACATAGCTAGACGTCTTAGGAAAGAAAAGCTCTTTATCTCCCTTTCGGAGTAAACAAAGCTGTAAAATATAAAATGGAATATAAAGTACAGATTAAGAGGCTGGAGTTTTGGCTCTGAGTGAGACCCCAGCGTTCGTACATGATGAATAATTTAAGCACCTGCAATATTGTGTGTGCTGCAGAGAGAGACAATTTCCCTCTTGTACTGCTGAACAAGTGGCGCTCATTCCCCGGGCCTGAGATGCTGCTTTCTGAGTGCCGCAATGGTATGTTATTGGCAAGCTCTGAACTCAGAAGGTTATAAAACAGAAAATATGTCGTATAATGTCATGGGTTTGATTAAACCAACAGAACAGTGACAAGAGAACTTGAATATGAAGGAATTTTTCAGATTTTGAATGAAACTAGACCAATCCTGATCGGTGTTACGTCATGACGTAATGTGTTTATGGCATACAAGCGGAAGCTATTAAAGGATGCCGGCACACATGATGTGTCAGCTTCTGTGATGAAGCAAGCGCTCCCAGCAGAGGAAGGCGTGGCAAAGGGACACAGTTCTCGTTCCCTTTCTCAGGGAACAAGGGTTACAGACATAACCGAAACATTCCGTTTCAAGGGAACTCGAACTGCGTCGAATGACACTTTGGGGAGACGAGTACACTCAATGCAACAACGCGCCATGCCTGTCTCAGTGTGAACCTGCTCACAGGCACACTTAGGACGAGAGGACAAGAGTGCCAGGCGTAGACGGAATGTCCAGCCTGTAAAACCTAATAAATATATGGGGGGTGGCCCATCCCTCTGCATCGCAGACCTCCTGAATCTCGGCCCCTGAAAGGAGGTCTCTAGAGGACGCCATGCCTCAGGTTGAATGAGCCCTCACGGCCAAAGTTGAAGGCAAATTTCTTTGGTAGGCCAAAGAAATAGCATGGACAATACAGTTGCTGATGGTCTGCTTGGAGGTGGGAAGCCCCTTCTTGGGCGACCCGAAACACACCAGCAACTGGTCTGACTTCCGCCATAAAGAGGACCTCTTTTTAGCACTCTGACAGGGCAGAGCAGATGAAGTCTCTCCTCATCCGCCGTCACGTTAGGTGGAGGATGAAAAGCCTGCAGAACCGTAGGCTGTGCCGCATTGGACATCACCTTAGGTAAATAGCCCGGCCTGGGATGAAGGATGCCTTTTATGTCGCCTGGAGCAAACTCTGGGCACCTGTTAGATATAGAGAGCACCTGGAGATCTTCTACCCTCCTAAGGCGAAGTAAAGGCCACCCAAAAAAATTAGGTCCTTGGCCTACACCGACTCCAGTGGTTCGAAGGGGGCCTCAGCCAGCCCTTCGAGAACCACTGCCAGGTCCCAAGTGGGAACTCTGGTACGAGCCGCAGGTCTCATCCTCCAAGCCCAACGGAGGAAACTTTTATTATTCTAAAACTTTTGTTAAACTTCAACTATTATTGACGCAACCCACCATCCTCCTTGGGAACCATGAAGTAGTGGCTGTAAAACCCGGAATACGTTCAATAGCCTCCTTTACCAGCAGGGAGTTTACTTCTTGTTCCAATACCAATAGGGTCAACTACAGTACAGACCACCCCTGTCACACATTACGTCATGACAAAACCAATCAGGATTGATCTATTTTCATTCATACTTCAGATGCGTTACGCTAAGGGCGTTCCCCCAAAGTGTCATTCGACACAGTTCGAGTTCCCTCGAGAGGCAACACACAGACCTTGCTGGGTGATATTAAGAATTTTATTGAAAACAATGGAATATAAATTAAATCCAGCTCATTTGCATAACAGACAGTGCTGTTGAGGCAATGGTGAATGTGCTCAGCTCTGCGTGAAAATTCCAAGCTGTTTACAACGGACTTGGGAGGGGATTGTTTAGCCATGTGGCCCCTCTCCTCCACGCTCGGCGCCTTTCATGTGCTGTTGATTTAGTTCCTGGCCATTTGCAATCAGTATTTAGAGGTGGGATGAAAGCAGAAAGCAGGTCAGCGAGCCCTCTGCGAAAGAGCCTGGAGGATTTGCATGGGCCAGGCCCAGTCATGCATTTATAATCACAGCCACTCGACAGGTGACTCTGGATAAAATAAATAAATAAATATAAAAAGGGCGGAAAGCCCTGGCTATTCCCGGAGACCTTGAAATTATTTTCCAGTTTTAGAGCATTAACTGGATCCAAGCTGGCATGGCAGCTGGCCTACAGGGCAATAGAAGAGGGGTAATGGAAGTATGGCATGAGCTTTAGAGAGCAGTCTCACCACCGCTCGTTACAAAGTGCCGGGTTTTAGCCAAGAATTTACCAGCCTAGAATTATTCTCTTTTTTCTAGTTGCTTGTTGTCTGTTATCAAAACATACAGAGATACAATTTATTTTCTTTCAAATTAAATGAATGAATTATTTAATGACTCACGATTCTACTACACATATATTGATTGATTTTTCATACATCGGTGTAGAGAAGCAGATATTTAGTATGACTTATTTAGTATACACGGTCTATGAATATGCTAATTTTCCCTGCCTCCACTCACTCACACCAGCTCAGAGATCCAATTCCTAAGCTTGAATATAGGCCCTTAGAGTTCCACTAACAACTCTATAAAGTCCTGACTATGCTACAATGAAAGCATAAACATACAGGCATACATGAATATATTGTATAATTTCCAGAATTATTCAAATAATAGATTTTAATAGAAATGTTATTGTATGTTTGTGTGTATGTGTGTGATGTCTTCAGGAAAAGTTCTGTTATATCTCTTTGGCTGAGAGGGGGAGGATTGAAATTCTTTTGAAGTTTGAGCGGGACATGCGGATGGTCACTGGCGTGGATCGCAAAGCCATAAAGGTGTCGGACAGTTCCTCTAAGTCCCAGACATGTTGGCACTATTGTAGAGTTAGATTATCTTGAGTCCTGATCTACATTCGCGAGTTCAGATTCTAAAAGCTTTGGGATTTCAGAAGGAATGTTATGCATTATTTGGCTTCATATGATCGAACCATGATTCTGGTTCAATCCTTAGGGTGTTGGAATGCATGATTCACTACCCTGGCGCGGCCCAGATACACTACACAGCAATGGTGTTGACATATGAATTTGTACATGGTTTGTCTCAAAGTATATTAAAACACCACAGACATATAAACAACGTTAAAAACTTGATTTTCACCACGGGGACTTTAACTAAACAAATCATTCTGTTTCACTTGAATACAATTCACTCATATAGTTTGTTCATTCAAGTATCTTCATTTTGATGCACTCAACTGCTTTACTGCCTTCAAAGACTGACTATAGCGCAAATCAGTAGCCTTTGAGTGTGAACTGTGAAGAAGCATTTCATTGATTGGACTTATTGAATGAATATGCCCTCTTCACATAATGAATCGATAGTTGTTATCTGAAATCGCATCCTATTATCTCATTCACTATTCCCTACTTTACTCCACTAATAAAGTCCACTTGAACAAGTGAATGAAAACGAGTGAGCTACTTCAGACAACTGAATGCACTGGAAGGGCAATGGTGAGACTTGAGAATAGTTCATTTGGAAGTCGAACAGTGATGCCGTTTTTGTAGGTAGAGCTGGTGGCAGAAAATGAGAGTTTTGCAGTAGAAGTCTATGGAAGCAACAGAATAAAAGAATAAAAAAGTGAATT